GAGGCAATCTTTTCATAATTCCTGCTCTCTCTCTCTCTCCCTCTCTCTCTTCTGTGTTTGGTTTCTTTTGAAAATTGCATGAATCTATTTGGCTAATAATAACAAACAGGCAGCAGCAGCAGCACACCGACAAACCAACACCCTACGCAGCTACCGACAACACAGCCCCACCCCCTCTTAGGAGGCAGCTGTGCTTTTTATTGCTGCCCATTTGTTTTGTTCTTCTTGTTTTTCTGTTTCTTTTATTTTTCTTCTTCTTCTGCGGGACTACGAAATTTTGGGCTAATATTTTATGGCAATTGATGGGAAGTGGCTGCGACGACGCACTTTTTTTCCTTGCGGTCAGCTAAGAGGCGGCAGCAGTTGGGCGCGGACTGGGGCGGGGGGAGGGGGCATAGGTATTGGTGTGGTTGGTTCGCTTGCGCAAAGTTGAAATAAACAATAACAAATTGCGCTTGATTTGCTTTATGATGTTTATATTACGCCCAGAGCCGTTGTCTCCCGCTCTCTGTCTTTCTCTCCCTCTGCCTCTGTCTCTCCCTCTCCCTCTCTCTCTCTCTCTCTCTTTGTGAGTGAATAACTGAATATGCAAGTGTGAGTGGGCAAACAGTGCGCACTGTAAAACTTTGGTTAATTAATTTTTGGAAGCCCAAGCAAAATAAATAAAAGTCGAAAACAAATTTTGGAGCAAAACAGCGCGCATTGCCAAAAATAAAAAAATAAAAAATTGATGAAGAAGAAGAGAAAAATGAAACGAAAATTTAAAAGCAGAAATTTGCCGAAATTAAATATGGGCCACAGACAGAAATCATCGTAGTCCTATTAACGGCTGTCAAATCAGGCACAAATATCAACAAGCATCCATTATACCTGGCCAGGTGTAACGAAAATTAGTTTTCGCTAATGGAGCAGCAACCTGAATGATTCCAAACTCAGCTGAAAATTTCGTTATTTATTTATAGATCTAGTTGGTTCTACTGCTTTATTTGTATATATTACTCAAATGTATTTTATGGATCTATGAATCAGCTCAGGCAATTGCGAAATTATGAGTTATAAATCTATATTGGCCCCTCTGGCTGAGTATTTATCGTTGAATAGGCGAAAATTGAAATTCTGATTTATATTTTTGGCATATTTCAGCAATCATAATAGACAATAGACAGAGATCAAGCAAAAGTGGGCAAAGTGCTTGTAAAACTGATTTAAGATTTTTTTTTTTTTTTTTTTTTTTTTTTTTGATAATCATGCAATATGAAATATTCCCGAAGAAGATGTTTTATCATATATAGTATATATTTTTATAGTAATTTTTATTTTTATATATGTATATATTTATTATTTATAAATTTTTTAATTTTTATTTTTTTCTTTGCATTTTTATTTATATTATTATTGTTATTATTTTTACATATATTTATTATTTATAGATTTAAATTTTTTTTTTTTTTTTTTTTGTATTTTTGAATATATGTATTATTATTTTTATTTTTTTTTAATATTTATTTAGTTTTTATTTATATTCATATTTTTCTGTTCCCCTCAAAACAAACTCGTAAATTTTTTTATTTTTTTATTTTTCCAGTATTTACTATATATATTTTATTTATTTATTATATATTACAGTTAATATAAAATTTAAACTAACTTTAATTATAGTGTGAAGTATAAAGTGTTATCAAGCTGTTTATATTTTAAGCTTTCATATAATTTTTGTTCTTTTATAAAATATATACATATATACTAAACACTTTTTTCCTATTATAAAATATGCATATATGAAATAGGACTATTCTCAATTAAAGTCAAAAGCTAAATCCAAATCCGACTGCAGCTACGCTTAATGAATGGAATGGAACTTTGATGCAGTTGGTTGACTTCGATTAGCATTGGCCGTGATTCATTCACATGCTGTCCTAATTAAGAGACAATTTTTCAACAAAAATCCCTTTCACACAGCAGAGCGAAAGCAACAGTTGTTGTTGTTGTTGTTGTTGTTGTTGTTGCTTTAGCATTGACTGCAACAGAAATGTTTCATCATTGCAAATTTCAGACTTTTTTATGGTGTTTCATTTTGTTGTATTTTTTGGTGCAGTAGAAGCAGCTGCTCCCAGCGCCTGACAACTGCAGCTCTTTGTTAGCTCTGCAAAATTGTGATTCAATGCGGCTATTTGGGTCGTCCTTTGCGGCAATGAGTCAACTGGATGTGAAAAGGTACTTGGTGCTGGTAACTGATATGCCAATGAAATGAATCAGAGCAGCTCCAGCTCCAACGCCAGCTCCAGCTTCATGGACACCTCTATGGGACAGCAGAGTTAAGTCAGATGCCATTGTGAATAGGAATTGCAGCCACTGAGCATATATTTTCCCCAATGAGTGCGATAATGATTATGTATGTGTGTGTGTGTGTGCGGGTGTGTGTGGCTTGTTATAATGAAAATTCATAATCTCGTGCTTGGTCAGTGCGCAAAAAGAAACAGCGGAAAACAGAATACAAAAAGGAAAAGGTGAAAGAAAAGCGCAACTCGTGCCATATGGAAAGTGCCAAGCCGGGCCAAACCACATACATATCTGAATATGCTATATCTGAATATGTATATAGCATATACATATATGTATATGCATGTGTATGTGTATATGTATGTGTATGTCTGTGCATATGGTTATGCAGGATGCGTGGGCACTGTGGCTTGAGGGGGAGGCGGGCGGTGCACAGCCAGCGTAGTTCATATCCATGTGGAGCAGGGAGCAGGATGCGTAATGAACTCGTTGTTGCGATTTTTTGTTGGTGCCTTGGCTGCCTTGCGAACAGGACGCCAGCGGGCGAGCTGCGCTCTGTTCAGATAGCGCACACACGCAATCGCAATCGCAATCGTATTGTTGTCATATTGTTGCTGCCACGCCCCTCACTCGACGGCGCCCAACGGGCCAACAATGGACACAAGCGCCAAATGGTTAAAGTGACTATGCTGGTGTTGCTGTTGTTCTTGTTGTTGTTGTTGTTGCTGTTATAGCAAGTTATTATTGTCTGCCGTTGCTGTTGTCATTGTTGTTGTTTTTGCTGCAGTTGTTGCTGTTGTTGCTGTTGTTGTTATCTTCCGGATGTGTCGCTCTGTGCATATAAATCGCATTTAATTTATTGTAAATCGGATTAAATTACCAAATGTTGCACGCACGCTGCACACTCGACTCTTTACCTCTGCCCCATGCGCGACCTATGCCAGTGTCTCAGTTTATCCCCCTCGCTCTCTTTCTCTCTCGCTCTCTCTCAGTTAATGCCTCGCACACGCTAGCCATTGCATTTAAAGTGCGACCAAAAGCGGCTTATTAGCCGCCAAGTAAGCCAACAGCAAAATGGACACAAATGAGACGCAAGCAGTTAGCCAACAGCCAACATCTCATTTGTAGCTGACAAAGCTGCTCGTGGCCGATAAATGGCTAGAAGCACTTCATGCAATTTAGCCAAGAAAAGCATTTGAAAAGAAAAACAAAATGAGATGCAGAGTCAGCTTGGCTTGAATTCCAGCCAATGCGTCGATGGGAATGGAGAGAGAGAGAGAGAGAGAGAGAGAGAGAGAGAGAGTGAGAGAGATATTGAAGTGAGTAAAGAACAGAGGAGAGCTAAAGAGAGAAAGAGAGAGAGCGAGAGAGAGATAGAGACAGCTAGAGCGAAAAATTTATATCATAAACTTGATCATCAGACAATTAGCGATCGATTGCAGAGACTTGGAAGCTCAAGGCGCTTGAAGATTCTTAAATAGCCTTGAACAGAGCTCTAGGCAGCATCCACCAACAATTACTTTATTGGCCACATGATGTTATTTGCATGGAAAATTTGCAATTTTTAAAGAAAAAATCTCAAAAATAAAATATAAAATTTATTTACATGATTTTCTAATTTCTATTGAAATCTAAAAAATTCTTCATCAAAAATTCTGAACAAAGAGAGAAAAATCTACTGTGTATGTAAACAAACTTTGTGAATTCAATCAGATTCGATCTCAAGATATAAGAAAACAAAAGATAAAGAGTACGAAATATTGAAGAGCATTAAAGGAACATGTAGAAAAAATCTAAGAAATCACTAGGAAACATATTTCATATTTCTTGAGCTTTCATGCGTACAAAATTCTGTATATAGTTTATCTATGTTGTATTTTAATAGTTTACCTAGCTTAAAATATAAATATTTTAAATATTTAATATACTTAAATATTTTTATATACTTAAATACAGTGTTTGATATAAAATTGATATTTTTTAAATTCTTTTCTATAGACCGTATGTACAATTTTATTTATTTTTAAGTTGCATTGTCCTATTTAACTAGTTAAAGTCGAGCGATTAAGGCCAGAGCAACAAAAACGAATCCAGTCAAAGCTTTTGCTCTATATATAGTGATACCATATATCATGATATATATATATATAATTGCTCACATTCTGCTGATTTTAAGGCGACTGAAGGGGGGTGCAAAATTTTAAAGCCAGCCGCTGCGTCGGCAGTTTCACACTTTTGGCTGCAATTAACCGTGTGCCGGCATTTAAGTGAAACTTCACAGTGCCTGTTATCTGTTAATGTACATTTCCACGGCTCATAAATGCACTGCCAGAGAGGGACAGAGAGAGAGCAACTGGGCAGCCCAAGTGTAGCCATCGTCACACGCTGCTTGACCAAAAAATAAACAGAGAAAAATTGAAAGCAACTTCATGTTAAATTCAAGTAGCTTCCATGACCATAACGCCATATTGCTCGACTCTGTATGTGTGTGTGTGTGTGCCGATTGCAGATTGCATTTGCGATTGGCAACAAGAAGGAAAAAAATGGCTTTGAAGTGCGGCCCGCACAATTAAGCTCTCAACGCACAGCAGCTGCCACGGCAAACTGCCACAACAACTACATTAGCTATAGCTATAACTGTATCTGTATCTGCATCTGCATCTGTATCTGTGTCTGCCTTTCAACTGATTCCTTTTCTTCTCTTGTTTGTCTCGTTGCAGCCTGCAATTGCCATCTGATCGGCTCATCTGGCAAGATCTGCAATAGCACGAGCGGTCAATGTCCGTGCAAGGACGGCGTCACGGGCCTGACCTGCAATCGCTGCGCCCCCGGCTATCAGCTAAGTCGCTCCCACATCGCACCCTGCATCAGTGAGTAATCGGCCGACATATATCACAATTACCAGATGGGCCCTACGCGACACATAAATAATCAACTCATACTACAGAAACATAGAGCTCATAAACAATAATGAATTAATTGCTGGAAATGATCGATTTTTGTGGCAGTTTTCTAGGCATATCGATATTTATCGCCCTCGTTGATAGACCTAAGCAGGCTGTGTGCCATAGAAAGCTCTTTACTGTCACTAGCTTCTGTAAGCTAAGAGCGGATGGGCAAGCAGATAGAAGAATGGGGGTACGAACAGACAGAAAAATGCGGACACGATACGGATCGAAGGACGAGTAGACGAAGAAACGTAACGAACGACTGATAGAGCAATTGAAAGGCCAATACAAATTATCAAACGGACGGTGAGACAGCAGAAGATATGGGTGAAAAAATGTAAAGACAAAAAAGCGAAGAAGTGACGAGAGAATAAAGAGAAGAGCACTGAATGTCGTACAGAAGAACAGATAAATATATATAAAAAAAAAAAATAAATGGGATGATAAGCGCAAAGTTAGATGGACAAATAGAAGATGTGACAAAGAGCAGATCTCTGAGTCTCGGTATTCTAAAGACGGACGATAGACGGAAGAACGCATAAGTCCAACAACAGGAAACTGTTATAATTCCGTGTAAACAGTCGGACGATTAAATGAAAGGAATATGAGTGGATAAGCACAAAGATAGACGAAGAAATAGACAATGATTAAAATATGTACAATTAATAACAATTCTATATTAATGTAGAGATGGGAACAAGTAATATGCCATATATTGTTATAAATCTATTAAATATGATATACAATAAATAGTGTGGAAACGTATAGATATAGAGATGGGATACAGAATACAGAAATAGAAGAAATATAGTAATATACTAAATATATTTCCTTAAACCGCAATCGTATCGATACATATGCTATTCAGTATGGGATATAGTATAGTATAGAACAGTATGGAAGCGTAGGTGGGTCAATGTCTGATGTAACTGGCTGATCGTGTAATTCGCTCAAGTATTCGCATAGAGAATCTAATCCATTGATATAATATCGTTTGCAGAGCAACCGCCTCGCATGATCAATATGCTGGATACGCAGAATACGGCGCCGGAGCCCAGCGAATCCTCTGAAGGCGTTGGCATGGACAGAGGCGCCAGCTCAGCGGCCGCCCAATCGCAGTTTTATCGCACCGAGGGCGGCAGGGGTAAGTAAGTGCTCTCCCTCTCTCTCTCTCTCTCTCTCTCGCTCGCACTCTCTTGCGCTCGCTCACACTCTTTTTAGCTATCTTATTCGTATATAGCATCAACATTGTGTGTGTTAAAAATTGTTGTTGTTGTTGTTGCTGGATGTTACTGCTGCTGCTGCTGCTGCTGCTGCTGCTGCTGTTGCTGTTGCTGTTGCTGCTGCGGTCGCTTCTACTAACTATCCCAGACGGCAAACTTTTGCCGCGTCGCTTCTCTCGCTTTGTAATCCTTTCAAATGGGTGAGAAAACACAAATCCGCTAAAGTGCAGTCGGTTGTCGGTTAAGCGAGCCTCCCATGAAGACTGAGGCGGAGCTGTTGCTGCTGCTTGTTCTAGCAGGGGTATGGTGAGTGGGGGCGTGGCCGGCCGTGTGGGCGTGCAGCACTTAACAGATAGTGCAAATGTTTGCATGCAACTTTTAGTTACATTTTAGCTACACACTTTATAGCTGTGCGTGTGTGTGTGTGTGTGTGTGAGTAGTGGTTGGGCGGGGAAGGGGGGTAGATGTGCACGCTGCAGCAACAAGCAAACAGAATGCGCAACAACAGCATAAATCATGCTAAAGCCGACCAAACCAACAGCCCGCCGTGCTACGTCTCCACCCCACCACACCGCACCGCGCCGCCAACCCCCAAAGCCCAGCAACCCAGCCCCTGCCGCCCCCGCTCGCGCCCCTCGCATCATTTGGCGCGTGGCCGAAGTAAAAGCAAAGCAAACTTTTTCACAAAGTGCCAAGCAGCAAATGGAAGAAGCAACTGGGCGCCCGCCCACGCCGAGCTGATGTATTAAAAAGTTTCCTTATTTAATTTGTTCGGCGTCCAGCGACAATGGTCGCACACTTTTAAGCAGCACTGTGCGCAGTGCCTGTTGCCAGTTGCCAGTTGACTGTCGCCTGTTGCCGAGTGCCGACTGCAGCCGCTAATTGCTGTCAACTATTTGCATAGCGCATTTAGCAACAGGCAACAGGCAACAGGCAACGGGCAACAGGCCGAATGACAAATTGAAAGGAAATTGACAGACGTCCTGGGCTGGCGATGGCCTCCCCTGAGCCCAGCTCCCTGGTCAGCGGTTAAGCGACAGCGGCTTGCCGACAGTTCAGCTAAAAGTATGACAACCAAAATGAGCTGTAATACGAATTGAAATGTTACTTAAGAGATATATACAGTGGAGTACCGAAAATTCGAAATGTGAAGGTGATGAGTTTTTTATCGAAAATAATCGAGAGCGATTTTTTTGTTCAAGAGAATAGAACTTTTTCAATTTATTGCGATTTATGATTATCAAATTATTATTATTATTATCAAATTATCGAGGCTCGATTCAATATATAGAGAGGAGAAAACTTTCAGAAGTACTTTTATACTAGGTACTCCTCTAAATTAGTCAGATATGATCATTAGAGAGGGGAAATGGCAGAAAACTATGCTTCTTGCAGGACATTCAATATCATTTAAATAGAGTGGGAAGATCTGATGAATGTTTGGGTACAGGCAACTCAGCTAGGCAAATATTTATGCGCCAGGTCGATAACCCCAGTTGTCAGTGCTTAAGTCTTGGATTAGTCTTAATTTTAGATTATTTCTAATCTCATTATAAATACATTTATATATTAGCTTGCTTATTGAAGGGGATTCTTGGAATTCGACTTTCAAGAAGTAGGAAAATATTTTAGTTATAACCATATCCGTTCGACCGTCTGTATTACAGTCCGTTCCTCCTTCAGTTGGTCAACACGTTCGTCTGTCCAATACTTGAATACATCCGTCCTTCAGTCCGTCTGTTCGCCTGTTCGTCTTCCCGTTCCACATTCTCTCTGTCGCTCCCTCTATAAGTCCGGCACTCCAACTGCCTGTCCAATGCTCCGTGTGTCCGTTAGTCGGTCTCTCTGTCTGCCTGTCCGTCAATCCGTTCATCTGTCCAACACTCCAGCTGCCTGTCCGTCCGTCACTTTGTCTGCTCGTCCGTCCGCTCTTCCTTCCCATCGTCCGTCCGGCCATCCGGCCGACAGTTTGACTATCTATCCGCTCTTTCATCTTAGTGCTCCAATTCAAGACAGTTATAAAGGCACACTGGGCACACTCCTCAAATATTGTTTAATAACTGCCAAACTAATGCCGGCCGCTTCTTTCAGTCAATGCTAAACAATAAATGTATATGAAATGTAAAAGTGATTCCATGCGCAGACAGAGACCTCGCAGAGCAAGTGGCTCGGCATATTAAAATTGCAATATCTAAATGGATCGCGCTGCATTGAGAGTGGCTTCGGTTTGTTACCCTAGGAGCGCATTTCAGCACTCAAAGGGAACTACAAATTGGGCCACGCGCAATGCGGAGGAGCTGTAGCCAGTTCCCAGTGGAAGCAGTCGCTAAAGACGAATGCACATTGGGCGGCCATTCAGAAGAGAGCATCCATCATCAAATGCAAAGTGGCTGGCGAGCCACCCAACCACCCTGTATACACATATATATATCGACATACCCAGCCACTGAAGGAGATTCAGCATTCAGTTAAATTTATTTGTCAATGGCAAAGAAAAGCGCAAAGTTGAGGCTGAGAAACCCAAGTTGGAGCTGAAGTTGATGTTGGAAGTTGAAAGTTTGGAAGTTTGCACGCTTGTAACCAAGAAGCGCACTAGAAAGATGGACAAAACTCGAACACACACACACACATAGAGAGAGACACACACACACATAGCGCAAAAGTTAGTCCTTGAATAGTGTTTGCTGCGGGGCAATGGCAGCAGCAAGTGGTAAAAGGGGACGGGGGACGGGGGACAGAGGCGAGGGGCGTCGGCTATGAGCGTGGGCGAGACAGCTCGACATGAATATTAATTATGAATTTATAATTTGATAATCTTATTAAATTAATTTGAAATTCTGTCGGGTCGGAGTTAATTTAAAGTTAGTGCCAGGCTGTCGACTCCCCATCATCCCACACCCCAATCCCTGCAAAAAACTTCTAACACATCCTCTGCGGCTGTCACCCACGCCCCCTTCCCAATCCCCAGCGTCATCTACCATCGACCCGTTTTGATTTTGCATATGAAATTTAATGACATGTTAATGCGATGCACAATTAAATGATTAACGAGTCGACTCGACTTGCCACTTGCCACTTGCCCCAGCGGTGGGCGTGGCCAGTGCTCTTTAGCGCCCGCAGCCGCAAATAGACGCGATAAATATCGCTGGGCCACTTAGAGCAGGAAATGTGGCGCCCGCCCAAAGCGAAGAATAGAAAAGAAGACAATAAAAAACTCGAATTGCTCAGATCTCGTGCCGAAATTGGAGGCGCGAGCCATTGAAATGTTGGCGCACCCAGCCAAATTTAGATGTTAGCCGGCCCCCACTGGGCCCAAGGCTGCCCTCCCTCTTTATCGATCAATCGTTGGACCGATCGATCGATCGATACGATCCAATCCGATCCGATCCGATCCGATTCGATCGTTCGCTCGCTCATATAATACAAAGTTTATGCGTTGTGCCTCAATTGTGTCACGATTTGCTGGCAACGGCTCTGACATTGGCAGCGGCAGCTGAAATAACACTGAAGCGGGAGTGAACGACCGGCAGATACCCAGCCAGGGTCAGCCAGCTGACATTGGGATATTGAGAGAGTATATTTTTGTTTAACTTGCAATGTGAGAGTATTTTGAAGTATTTATATTCAATTGATTTTGCTTAAAATCGGATATATAGCTTATATATAGTAGTGAAATTCTGAAAGTAAATTTACTTTCCATTAGCTCTACCTCCTTATCTCTAAGAACGTCCATATCAAGCTTTCTCTTTCTCTATCTCGCTGTCTCTCTTTCAACTCTTTTTTTTCTGTCTGCCTGCCCTGCCGTAAACTTTTACTCTCTGTTACCCCTCTTCACTCACTTCACTCACTCTCTCTCTCTCTCTCTCTCTTTCTCTTGATCTCATTACCGCTCACTCTCCTTTCTCATCTCGTTTCACGTTCTCTTCCTCTTTCTTCGTCTATATATGTATATCTTTATCTTTACTATATCTCTCTCTATATATATATCTCTCTCTATCTCTATCTCTCTCTTTCACTCAACTACTCTCTATATCTTAATCTCTGTATTCCATCTCTCTTTGTATTCCATCTCTCTCTCAATCACTCCCACACTCACCCTTTCTCTCTCTGTCTATCAATCTTTCTCTCTCTCTCTCTCTCACTCTTTTCTCTCTCTCTCTCTCTCTCTCCATCTACCTTTCTCGCTCTCTCACCCTTTCTCTCTCCCTCAATCACTTCACTTCACTCTCACTCGCTCTCTCACTCTTTTCAATTATACGCTCTGCATTGATCAGGTCATTATATACCCAACCTCATCCTTCGCTCATGTACAGGGTATTGCAACAATTGCAAGAGCAACAACTGCAACAAACGATTGTGACTAAAAACAACAAACGAAGCAATTTGCATTGCAGCAATCAAAACACACGACGCTAATTTTAGTACACAAAAGGCGGCATTGACGACCTTAGACTGCCTGCCCCCCTCCCCCCACTTATAGGCGTATGGTGGGCGTGTCAGCTTTAATGCAATACCGATCGAGCGCCTTAATGCGCGCAGTTATTGCTGTTGCAGCAGCAACAACAACAGCAGCAGCAACAACAACAACAACAAGTCGTTTCGCCTGCTTTTGTGGCTGCTTTAGTTTCAGCTGCTGAATCGGATTTCGAATCGGATTCCGTTTCTGTTTTTATTTATTTTTGTTTCTGTTTGTGGACGCGCTAATTGGCATTGGCTATAAAGACATAAATTCTGCAATTAAATTGTAAACAGAAAAACGCAACGAGATTCGTTGATCTGTGCATCTGTGCGATTTGCCTAATAACTCTACAACTTCTCTCTCTCTCTCTCTCCCTCTCTCTACTCTCCCCTCATCACAGTTTGCGAAAAGTGCAAAGTCAGCACCAAAAGGTTAAATCTCAACAAATTCTGCAAAAGAGACTACGGTAAGTCTAAATGGAATATATAATTTATATATCCTCACTCTCACACTCTCCCTCTCTCTCTCTCTCTCTCTCTCTCTCTGTGATTAGCAATAATGGCAAAAGTAATTGGTCGCGACACGAGCAGCGAGGTGGCCAGTATCGAGCGCAGGCGCGCAATGGATCCGTACGGGGACTACGAAATGGATCAACAGGCAATGGGCGGGCTGGAATACGAGTATCGGGCGGGGGCGGGGCCAGCAGCAGCATTGGCTGGCATCAGCAGCAGCGCCAGCGTGCCGGATTACCCAAACGACAGCGACACGGCCCGGTACGATCTGCTAATCCAAGCGGTTTTCAAGCGCAGCAGAACCACCGCCTATGGAATGCCGAATACAATGCTGAAACGAGGTCCTATGACCTGGATCATACCGATTAAGAATTTAGAGTGCCACTGTCCCAGGATCAAAGTTAACAGGTGAGTGTACGACTACAGGTACCGCTGCACTCATCATGAGTTTCGTTTCCTTGAATATCGGCATATATAGGTGTATACAGTGTCGATCAACTTTCATGAGAATCGCATAGTAGAGCAAATAACTTCTTAATGCCTTGCCTCTACTCATTTTTCAACTCTGTTTGTCGTTGCAGATCATATTTGATTTTGGGGCGTGACTCGGAGGCGCCGCCCGGCTATCTGGGCATTGGTCCGCGTACGATAGTTATTGAATGGAAGGACGATTGGTATCGGCGCATGAAGCGCTTCCAGAGGAGGGCGCGCAGCTGTGCGTAGATGAGATGACCCACCGTCCCCACATTGCAGTGGCCATCTTTGTCACACAAATATTTTGTCTGTCACTTGTCAATTTCATTTACCTACCTTCAAGCTATATGTACTTTTTTTTTACTAAACATATGTGTAGATTGTAGAGCTTAAATTTAAGAATTTCAAATCAAATCAAAGCGTCGCAACTCAAGTGAATATATTTATATAAATATACATATATACATTTTTTTTTTTTTGCTTAGAATCATAGACCAGTCTTCACTCACTGATACAGCAGATTGAAATAATGAAAAACGCTTTGGCAGTTACGCGCGAAACTATTTGAATTGTAAAACGTGAACAGCGCTGCCACCCCTGCAGCACTGCCATTGCGTGCAATATATTTCTGCTTAGCAATGAGTGCAAAACTATCGCCATAGAGAAGAGCAATTCAAATATAATGGCAGCAAATAAACATCAACATATTTTTTATGTTTATTTGATTTTTTTTTTTTTTTGCAATATTATAATTTTACTAACAGCAGCATTTAATTTGATTTGTTTAGCATTCTAAGGCCTACATAGCTGTATTTAATTTATTTAATTAACTTTAATTGTTATTTGACTATCAACATATCTATATATGCACATACATATATATGTATGGAATCTTTATGATTTGTATTATTTTGTATGATAAGAGCGCAGTCTTAAACATTCTCTCAGCTTTCCCTATTTCACAACAATAAGAATTTATCAGTTAACAACAAATGTGAGCAACAATAACTACAATAGTCCACAAATAAAACAGCAAACGCATATTTGCCCGATTAAGCATTAATATATATAAGCAATGTACGCACCTATGTCAAATCTTAAACAAGTGTTTTAAAATGCAAATAAATAGATATTGTACAGTGCAACTCACAATTGATGTATTTTCTCTTGATTAAAATAATGGAAATGGCATCGGGATTATCGCGCCAAATCATTTGAATATGAAACACTGCTAGCGTTGCCATCTCGGAAGAGCTGCCAGTGCGTGCAATATATATCGGATGTTCACACTCATGAGTCATGATGTCCATCGCCACAGAAAGTAGAAATTTAAATATATTGTGAATTGATTAAATAAGTACGTATTTTATTTTGAGAGAAAACACCAGTCTGATCATGAATTTTTGTATGTGTAGCATTACTCGTATTATATAACTGTGTGGGATGTGTTTGGCGTACATAAAATATTTTTGAATTCAAAACAAATGAACAAAAGCTAAAATTATTTTCATACATGTACATAAAAGCGAAATGGCAGCGTAAATGAAATTTTATATTTAACGGATGTATCTATCGTATTCAGTTAGATATGCAAGATCGTACATGATTTTGTGCTCGATATATCGATAGCTGTTGCGATATCAGAGTCAAACTAGTAAACATCGGACGCGCCAAAAATCATTCGCGAAAAGTGTGTCCCAATTCGAGCATCAGCCAGGATTCGCAGATCGTTGCAATTGTGGTATAGAATACAATTAAAGTGAGGATGAGCACAAGCCTGGACGAGTCAATATGCGCGTATTTTGTCAACAACACAAAGAGCGACACAGAGGCCGACTTGGCCATCGCTGGGCTATATGCCAGCGCACTGCAGTTGATGCGCGAGCAGCTGGAGGACACGCAGATTCGTGAAATTCGCCCAAGTGAAGGCTTTCCACTGATCGCCGGCGGTGGGCTGACGAAAAAGGATGTCTTTGTGCTGGCTCAGTTCGAGGGCGAGCTATTCGAGCAGCTGCAGCTGACCAAGGCGCTGGTGCTGGGCCCACCCTGCATTGTGGCGTGCCTGCAGGAGAACGCGCCCGTTCCACTGGGCAGCAGTCCCATCTATGCCACGGCTATGCGTGACCTGCAGATCTCGGCCAGCGGCATCAGCAGCAAAGAGAAGGAGGACATTAAGAAACTGATCCACTGGATGGGCGGTCATTATTTCCAGAACTTCGGACGCAACATCACACATCTGATATCCAATACGATCAAGTCGAACAAGTATGAGCATGCCACGCTCAACGATGTGCCCGTCATGCACACCGACTGGGTGCAGGGCGTCTGGGCGTGCTGTCGCAGCGGCGCCAATGGCACCAGCATCAGCGCCACGGATCCACAGTTCGACAAGTATCGCCTGCCCACGTTCTTCGGCGCCAACATCACGTGCAGTGGCCTGGACACGGCGCGCAAGGAGGCGGTGATGCGGCTGGTCAATGAGAACGGCGGCATCTATCATCGCGCCTTCCGGTCCCAGCAGGTGGACATCGTCATCACGGAGCAGTCGAAGACCGACACCGAAAAATACAAGGCGGCGCTGCGCTTCAAGAAGGACATCCTGCTGCCCGAGTGGATATTCGATAGCCATGAGCGCGGCTACGCGCTGCCCACCAAGCAGTACGAGGTGCGGGCCGGCAAGCAGGTCTCCACGCCCACTAAGCGCCACCATGGCAACCATGGCAGCCATGGCAGCCATGCCAACCAGACGGCTGCGGACAACACCCAGCTCTCGGATCTGTCGCGCATCAGCTTCGTGAGTGCGCCGGGTCGTCGCATGTGCAGCGACAACACCACGCTCAACGAGACCGTCAGCAGCAACTGCAGCATCGGGACACGCAGCGGCGGCGCTGGGGGTGCCGGTGGTGGGGCCAGCGGCAGCGGCCTGCTCAAGCAGGCCACCAGCAATCATAAGCAGCAGCTGTACCAGGAGACACTGGCGGAGATTAGCCCGCGCAAGGCCAAGAAGGCGGGCGGCTTTCTGGACGGCTGCTGCGTCTACCTGAGCGGCTTTCGCAGTGTCGAGCGGGAGAAGCTGAATCGCGTGCTCAACACGGGCGGCGCCACGCGCTACGACGAGCTGCACGAGGGCCTCACCCACATCATTGTCGGCCAGCTGGAGGATGCCGCGTATCGGCAGTGGCAGACGGAGGGTTTGCTGGCCACGGTGCAGGTGGTGCGGCTCGAGTGGCTGCTGGAGAGCATTCGAGCTGGGCGCATTGTCAGCGAGCTGCCGTATCGGGTCTCCGTGCCGCATCTTGCCAGCGAGGCCACAGACGCCCCCTCGCCGGCCAGCAAGCGCACGTTGCGCTCCATGAATCACAGCTTCAAGCAGCCGTCGCTGCCCATCAAGAAGAAGCTCTTTGATGGGCCCACAGATGTCGGCAGTGCTCCACCGGAGCCGGAACCGGAGCTGGAACCGGACCTGCTCACGCACTACTCGCAGGAGCAGGAGCCGGCCATGCCGCTGCCTGCCGCCAGCTCGACGCAGCTCTCGCTGAGCGGACTCACAGCTGCAGCCCCCGCCTCGGCCGGCGTTCCACTGGCCGTCGCCCTGCCCGACCTGAGCGCCAGCACGCTCTCCATCGACTTCGACAAGCTGGACTACTTCAGGGGCGCCTCGGTGTACGTGCACGAGCCGTGCTTCAGCAGCGAGCTGTACGACCAGATGCTCAGCGAGTGCAAGGCCGCCCAGGGCTGCCTGGTGCCGGCGAGCTACACGGATCCGGTGGACTATGCCATTGTCAGCTTTGAGCAGGCGCTGGATGAGTCCACGCTGCCGGTGCAGGCGCGTCACGTGGTCACCGAGCTGTACCTGGAGAGCTGCATGAAGCAGAACGCGCTGCTCCCGCTGGAGTACTACCATCGGCCGGTGCCGCATACGGCCAGGCTGGAGCCGCTGCGCGGCATGACCATTGTGGTGTCCATCTATGCGGGACTGGAGCGCGACTTTATCAATGCGCTGGCCGAGCGGCTCGGCGCCGTGCTGAACAAGGCGTTCGTCAAGAAGGAGCGGCCGCTGCTCATCTGCTCCAGTGCCGAGGGCTCCAAGTACGAGGGCGCCCTGAAATGGGGCTACCCGGTGGTCCGGGCCGACTGGCTGGTGCAGTGCGCCGAGCGCGGCGAGAAGCTGCCGTATGCCCGCTTCCTGGTGGGCAAAAGCGTCAGCGACTTCCCCGTCTCGCCCGGCCTCAAGGAGAGCAACAGCAAGAGCAACAAGAGCAACAACAAAACGCTGACGCCCAAGAACCAAGGGAAGACGCCCGCTACGCCGCAGGAGAAGGCGGCAGGAGTGGAGCAGCAGTCGACGCTGGTGGAGGAGGAGGATAAGGAGCAGCAGCCGCTGCAGCCGGAGCTGACGCCGCTGCGCAACCCGCGCATCTCGGAGCTAGTCACGGGTGTGGCCAGCACGCGGCGGCGCAGCTCGAGCGGCACCACGACGCCTGAATCGCCGCACACGCCGCTCAATCAGAAAACCAGCGCCGGCGCGTGCAACTTTGACTTCCTGGAGCAGGTGGTGCAGCGCCTGGACACGAGCCAGGCGCGCGACTGTGTGCGCCAGATAATCCGCGAGATGCGCGAGAACCAGACACCCGAGCTGGAGCGGATCAGGCGGCAGGCCTGCACGCCCGTCAATCGGCGCCAGGCATCGAAGCCTGCGCCCGGCATACCCAACTTCTGCCTGACGCCCGAGTTCCAGCAGCGCATGGCGGACGACTTCGAGCGACGCTGGCGCCTGCCCAAGCATCAGATCAAGCCGGACACGCCCATAACGGTCATTCGACAGCGTGTGATGCGCATCACGTGCGAGACGCTGGGCATCGACTACAGCGACAGCGAGAATGAAGGCGTGCCAGTGGCCGATCATCAGCCCAAGAGTATGGTGGAGCAGCCGGTGGGTCGCCTCCTGTTCCAGGCGGGAGCAACTGCCGCTGCAGCTGCAGCTACAGCCACAGCGCCTGGCTCCCCGTTCGTGCCCAGTACACAGAGTCCCAGGGGCGCAGGTGCAGCGGATGAGCTGCCCGGCGCCAGCACCATCAACTTCGACAAGATCAGCTTCGAGGAGACGGCGGCCGAGAACTCGCTGGAGCTCAAGCAGCTCACCGACTACCTGAAGAGCCGCGAGTCGCGGCGCAGCAGCCTGAAGCGCGACCACGAGGGTCACGCCAGGAGCGAGGTGCAATACGTGCAGCCCTTCGAGTCGGAGGGCTTCGCCATGACCGCCGGCGAGGATATTGTGGGCTGGCGAGATCCCGCCGAGTTCAACCTGGGCAAGCGGAGCAGCGACGGTGAGTCGTCGCGCATGATCTACCAGGGCACGCCCTGCTTCAGCATCTCGTGCGGCGACGACGAGGAGAAGCGCATGCTGCTCATGGAGCGCATTCGGCTGCTGGGCGGCCAGATCTGCCAGAATCTGTCCAACTATGATCCCGCCTGCACGCATCTGCTGTGCGAGCGCCCCAATCGCGGCGAGAAGCTGCTCGGCTGCATGGCAGCCGGCAAATGGGTGCTGAACATCAGCTACATCGAGGAGTGCCACGCCCGCGGCGTCTTTCTGGACGAGTCGCTCTACGAATGGGGCAATCCCAAGGCGCTCAATTTGCCCACCCTGGCGCCGGAGGAGCAGCAAATCGCAGCCGCTGCGCACCGCTGGCGGCTCGAGCTGACGCCCGACAGCGGCGCCTTCAGCGACTACCGCGTCATCCTCAGCCTGCAGGAGCGCAATCTGGCGGCCATCAAGAATGTGCTGCGCGCTGGCGGCGCCACGATCCTGGAGCCCAGCTCACCCTTCAGCGCGGACGCCACGTCAGCCACTGCCACCCACTGCTTCGTCGACGCCAAGAAGGCGCCGCTGGCCGCAAAGGACTTTGCCTATCTGCAGCAGCATGGCGTCTGCATCATGTCCCAAATGTGCATCAATAGCTACCTGATGGGCGGCCGGGACGCCAATCTCGAGAAGTACGTCCTGCGCCAGTGAACGATGCAAATTCTCCAGTTTCTTATCTATTTATATATTAATTTTTTTCGCTTTTTTTATAATTTTTTGCTTTGTTAAAATTTTCTTCATGTTAATTAATGTCGACTCTGAGGAGCAGACCCGACTTTAGTCTGAT